GAATACGCCAGCCTAGCCTGGTTAAATATATCAGAAAAATGTAATAAATAAATTACAGAGAGTGCAAATAAAATTATTATAAAATGCACATGGATTCCCCGGATAAATATGTTATCATCATATTCACAAAGATGTAGGAATCCCAAATCTAAGACAGAGACTGATAGAGCTAGCCTCCAAGTACTTCAATAAAAACAACATTGAGCTTTATTCCACTGATTCATCCAAATACAGCATGGGACTGCTGTAAATCTAGCAAGTTAACAGGACTGATAACACCGACAAAACGTTCCACAACATTACCAACCTTGGTCAAGAACACAGTAAAGTCGACAGCTGAGACTTACCGGAAATATCAGAGGTTTCGTCAAGCAGAAAAGCAATTAATTGTACTTCCTCGATTTCTCTGGCAATGGAATCAAGTTGGACATTATTTGCTTCGATGAGGTCATTCTGAATTCTGTTCGATGTTGCAGAAAAATTAAAGTTTCGAAATGTTACTTGAGTAAAGAATCAAACCCAATGATTAATTCTGATGTTTCTACATAACAGCTGCAGTTCAAGGAGTCATCCGATTCGTCTTTCCCAAGATACGTCCGCTCTTGTTCTCCAGGATAACATACAACACGAACCAGTCTTTACAAAATTGCATGATGACATATAATACGAACTCTATAAAACTGCACGATTCTGACAATGTTTTTTTGTATTGGCTCTCAGGATAAGTCTCAACTGCTCATCCAACTGAAGATCAATTGGAGTTTTTCCAAATGTTCGTAACTGTATACAAGCTGCTAGGTGTCGCTGGCTAGTTTTGTGACGTATGCGGACATCGTGTAAATCTTGCCTTATTCAACACATTTTTTTCGTTGAGACGCGGCCAACATTTTGTTTGAAGATAAGCACAAAGCAACACGTATATCGAAACTCGGTTTCTAGCGTTGTAAGTCCGTAGACATACCTCTGTGCCACTGAGAGGCACGGCCAGCAGAACAGCTTACTTCTTTCCACAGTTCTATAAAGCCTCGCAGAAATACCGTTCCAACTCTTTATCCCATATTCTGTAAATACTCACTGATAAGTAATCGTAATTTCGGTTATGGCCTTCCAGTTCTACGAATTTTCATTTGCGATGCATAGCCCCTTGCACTAAATAGATTAGTCAACAAATTTTACACTAAATTTTCCATAACCCTTTACTTATAAGTTATATAACAAAGTCAGTCCTATATTTATTTTTTCATTCATACAAAAATAGACAAAAAGAGTGTAGTTCCCTACTTTTCGGTTCCGCCTTCTGACCTGTGCTAGCCGCACCGGATAGCAGCAAGAACTCTCTATGAACCATCAACTTGCAATTAAAAACAGTGCGTTAACTTGTTGTACCACACTACACCGTCTACGTCACCATGTCAACCACATCAAGTCTCGTTTACATATGGTGAAGAACGTTTGATGAATTTCATAGCTAATAAACATGGCCGATTTCCCTATTCTACATATTGATATTCAAGGTAGAATACACGCCAAGAGGTGGGAACTAACTAGGTGAAGGATAACAATATATCTATTTTTGATATTGCAGAAACTTTATTAATGATAAATATGTCATTTCTAATTCCAAACTATGATATTATAAGGAAATACAAAAGTGTCGGAGAAAACAACAATGATTCCTTGTGTTACAGGAAAAATTTAAACATAAGAGGAATTAACATAAATACACATGCATATACTTATTTTAATTAAATAATTCTAACTGTATTACTATCTGCTTTATATACATAGCTCACAATCAGTTAATAAAACAGATACAAACTTTACTGATGTGGTATTATCTCGGCTAATCTAAAAACAAACATCCTGCTTTGGATTATAAGACATTAAAACAGAAATGGAACTCCTCTACTAAAGTGTATTAACAGAAATGATTTTACTAATTAATGGTGATTATACACAAATTGATCTGAGAACAAACACATCTGATATACTAAATCTAGCTTTATGTATAATCTTACCTATTATAACAAATTTCAAAGTAAGGGACAACATTAATAATGATTATTGTTATTATTATTGATCTACAGAATAAAATCAGTAAATCTAGTGATGCCTTTAATAACAACCTAAACTTCGAAAAAGTTAACTGGAAATTCTTGAAAATAACCTACCACTAAATGTTACTACTGTAGCTATAAGTGAAACATGTGTAGATTTCTACAACAACGGGATCACCAATTATATATTATTAAAGCTACTGAAGAGAGCATTCCATGTTGACAGTCCAGACGGAAAACAACTCACTGGCAAATTAATGAATAGTGCTATATCTGATTTTTTAAAAAAAGGAAGACATTTCTGGCACACATATTATAAAACAAAGAATCCAGCACTGAAACCAGAGATAAATGCAGTAACACACATAATTAGAAAAGAAATCAAACTACAAAAATAACAACAGTGATACAACTTCTGTATCAAAATGGACAACGAAAAAGACCAAAGAACATTCTGGAATCATATTATAGTTATACCAAGTCAGAATACTAGCAACATTGCAACCTTAAAATTATATAGCTGCATACACACAAATGAACAATAAGCTAATCTCTTCAAAGAGCAATTACAGGAAACTTTTAAAGTCCCAAACTTTGACTCATAATGGTTTACTAATATTAATAATCACACACTTATTCATTCCAAGATTTCCTGTAGATCTAGGGCTCTTTCACTATAACCCAGGCAATATACACACACTCCCATCAAAATTCCAGAAGTAAGACTAGCAATAAAATCACTCAAGAATAACTCGTCAGGAGATGATAATTTATTCAACATATTTCTCAAACAATCCTCTAAGAAACTTCTAGAACATGTCAAAGCTCTTTTCAACTTATCCTATTGTTCAGGTTATATTCCCACCTCTTGGAAAGTAACTAAAATGTGCATGATACTCAAGGAAGGTAAGCCAATGGGAGAACCCTCGAGCTATCATCCCATTAGTCTGACAAGCTGTTTGGGCAAATTGTTAGAAAAACTTATTAAAATAATAACTAATAGAAAAATCTACTATGCAGTTTACAAAATGTTTTAGAAATAACAGAAAAACAGTTGCTCACTTGGTAAGACTAATTGAAACAATGGTTAAGGGACTTAACTATAGTAAATTAAGAATAGCATGTTTTTTCTATTTCACAAAAGCTTTTGATAGCATGTGACATAATGGGCTTTGAAACAAGTTACTGAACTACAAACTCTCTGGTGGCATCCCAACTTTTTGATAATAGTACTGTTTTTGTTAGTGTTAAGGGTGCCAAGTCAGAGACCCATTCATTGTTCATTAATGCTGGAGTTCCTCAGGGAAGTGTCACCAACTCTCTGTTATTTAACATTTACATTAAGTCATGAATCTTGAAGAACATTTCAAGAACTGGGCTTCCCAAGGTGCAGGTGACATGGCACTTTCGAGTATTGGTTGTAGCCCTAAAATAACAAACTGGACATTAGTGATAATCAAACTGAAGATGACCTTTTCCAGCATGTAGAAGCGGTATGACCCAAAGTTT